GAATCGCTACATAGGTTTTTAAAAAGACGTAAATACGAATCACAATATCGGATTTTTAAATCTCGTAAATAAGAATCGCAACGTACAATATTCAAATCGCGTGAATAAGAATCGCAACACGCAAATACAAAAAGCTATATTTGATATTACAATCGTGTGAATAAGAATCGAGATATTAGCAAATTCCAGACTTGGGACCTCTAAAAGGCTTGTCAGAAGCAGCGTCGTTTGAACTACGAATATCGGATCTATCTGGAGAGCGGGTGAAAAATTCGGAAAATCTTATCTGCTGCGTGTAAAAGGGGAGAAAATAGGTAAAATAAGTAAAAATGAGAAAGGATTGGTAGCTATGTAGTTTGAATTTTCTGTTTCTCTTTGAAAATCGGTGAATTTTCTGAAAAAGCGGAATACTTATTAAAAAAAGTGAAATTATTAGAAAAATCTGAATATTTGATAAAAAAGCTGAAATTTTAGAGATAAAAGTGAAAAAAACGGAAATCCGCTAAAAAGCGGAAAAATCTCATCCCTGTAACTGATTTATTATAAGAATCGTCATTTAAAGGTCTGTCATTTCAAGTCGTAAGAATCGTCATTTGAAAAAAAAAAAGAATAGTTATAAAACACTTCTTACCTTTTCAATAATATACCAACTTCGAAATTTACATCTCAGTGATAACTTGCAAAATGAACTTGCCAAATTTCTATTATATATCAAATATAAGAATTTACACTGAAAATTGCATTTATTAAGTAAATATTTATTTAAAATATGACCTTTAAACAACATTAAATAATTTATTTTACAATTTTGTGTGGTATAAAACAAAGTAAATAAAGGCAAGAGATAGACTGAATAAGTTTTCGCCAAACTTATCTCAGAATCGCCAAGTTTTGTATTCACTTTTACGTATTTCCTTTTGTTTTGTTCAAAATAAATATCTGCCTATTCCTAATTGCATTTCATTTTGATTCACCAATACATCAGATCGTTAGCTGTATTTAGCTAATCCTGGCTCATTTAATTTTTTTAGTCACTTATAATACATCGCTTCGAGTTCAAACCGTTTATTTACATTCATAATAAGAAAATCTAATATGCGATCTTTCATACGTTTTTGAATCTATAAATGTTATTTTTTTCTTTATAATTCTTGAGACAAATTGATGAAATAATTAGTTTATGTTGTAGAAAAGTTAATGGGAGTATGCTTACAAAATTTAAACTCTGAATCGTTTAATATGATTCATTTTAAGTATAAAAATATAAAACAGTATTTCAAATTTTCTTGAGTGTTCAGTTTGTAGAATCTCTACTTAAAGTAAATCGGAACGATGGTAACAAAAAAATTAAGGCCTGATACTATTCCAAATCCTTTAAAAATTCCTCCAAAAAAACTGAAATGGATAAATTGTCCAAAATCAGGATCAATTTCAGATGAGCTTAAATCTAATGTAAATATAAATTTACGCATTCTTCTCCATTTGCTTAGTTTTTTTTTTTAAATTTTATAATTATTAAAAAAATCAAACATGTGTCGAAACTTTTTCTATCTAGTAATGAATATTATTTTTCTCGTAAATAACAATAATAAAATTTTTACTGAATTTGTTTAAGTTTTAAAAAAAAAGTTTCCGAAAAATAAAGTAAATCGATGAAAGCAAACACGTTTTTCTGCGCACGTATTATCCTAGTTGAGATTAACGTCTTTTGTAGCAACAATAAGTTGACAAATCTTGTAGCTCTTCCGCATTGGTGAAAGTTTTTGCTCCGAAATGGCGGCTCTAACCTAAGCCACTAAAAGGAGCCCTTGAGTAAGATAAGTTCGTTAAAGTTGAGCCAGCTGATCGGCGCGAATGTGGTGGTGATTGACCTAAGACTGCGATATTCTAAAGCCAGTACCGTGTCGCTAACCTGCGTTGCACATGGAATATATGACTTCTTCCTAGATCTTAATTCTTTTCACATTTCAACTTATCGCTCTCGACTTCAGAACACTCTTTATAGGTAGGTACTTGGTATTACTATACTAAACACGCGTTTTGTAACTAATCTAATCTGTTGGCAAATTTTTAAGTTGACTCGAAAATTATGAATGAAATGTGCTTGTTATTCAATCCCTAAGAGCAGATTGAAGCTTAAACACACCACACACATATATATATATTCACTCACTGGTCACCTTAACCAGGATGGATAATTACCGCTGTACTAATACGCAAAACCTAAAGTGATTAAGTTGTTTGTTTTAAATAGGTTGGTGAGATTGCTGAAATTTCTAAAGAATCTGAATTTGATGAAGAATCTACTATATCCGAAATATTTTCTTCATATGAAGAATTTCATCCTTATAAGAATCCTGATATTGAAGATGACTTGAAAGTCGAAACGAAGAAATGGAAAATTAAGATCCCAATTTCCAATTAGCAAAGTCAATAGGCAATGTAAAAATTTAGGGAAAGATATGATATTTCAAGACTAATCTGAATATACCTAAAATATGGGTAAACATTCTTACTTTTACGAATAGTAAAGCTCTATATTTAACTTGCATAATCGTTTATTATTAAACTCTTAATTAGTACAATTTTTATAAATAGCTTTAGTAACTAAATGCAGATGTTATCATTATCTATAGATACGCTAAGACAAAACCTCAACATTGAACATTGACTTCGTGGACTAAAGTCCTGACAAATTTTTCAGGTTTCTAAAATTTATACTGAGCAAACATTAAAAGCACATCGCTAGTGGAAAACAAAACCCTAAAATGTTTCCTCTTTAAGTAACACAAAAACGGATATAACTTCATGTTTTGTCACCTTCTGTGTTGAGCTAAAATTGCAGAGTTATGGAGTTGTTGTCACTTCGAATGGCACTTGGGCAAGGTCTCCAGCCATTGGTGAATCAAGTCAGGTAGGTGCGTCTTTCGTTTGACAAGTAAGCTCCACAAGAGTAAAAGTACATCCTAGCTCAGAACCTCAAGGATAGATGGCAGCACCAGTCATTCGTAAGGGGTCACTTCCTCAATTTAAACATAGATCTAAAGGCGAAGGAAATTTTCTCTAGACCTTTGTACTAGAGGTACTGTTTAGCGACCGACCCCCCAAGAGTTCTTAGGGTAGTCGAGGATTGAACGCGGTGAAACCGGGGCAGAGTCTGATTCTCTAACCACTGGGTTACCACGGTCCAACTTATAGAGTTTAAATCGATAACCGCATATCTCCAGAAGAGAGTAACTCCTCCGAATAAACAAAGGCGAAAACAGAAAGAAGAAAAAAAATACTTTTTTTTACATCTCAAAAGTATTGAGAACAATTTGAGCATTAATGTTAGTTAATTAGTTCCTAGATGGCCTCACTGTAAGACTATACTAAAATATTCAAATGCAATAAAAGAACAAATTAACGGATTGATTTACGAATAAATAGAATTAAATTATTTAATTAAAAATTTTATTAAGTTTTCAATGCCATAAATCTTGACAAAAAAAAAAAAGATTTGACCTTTGAAAGATATTAGCTATAGAAAATTGGCATTTGTATTCTTGATTTTTCCTTGTTACTTCTCGGATTTCATCACAACACTATATTGCCATAGAAGAAATCCATGGAAAACTTTCGTATTCAAATATGCAATAACAATTAACAAAAAGAACATGTAGTGTATGGTGACAGTTGTTTGCTTCGGCACGTTATTACATCATTTCTCACAGTTTGGACAAATGATTTAGTTACGTCCTTTAAATTAAATGAAAAAAGAAGTTAACAAGCAAAAAATTAAATTAANAGTATATGGCAGGGGTGGCCAAGCTCCTTGATAGTCGAGCCATTTTTCAAAATTTGAAGTTTTTCGCGAGCCGCAATTAAATACGTAGTATAAATAGTATATAATTTATAACTCTATAGTATAGAGTTATAAATCGATAACCGCATATCTCCAGGAGAGAGTAAGTCCTTCGAATAAACAAAACGGACCAAAGGCGAAAACAGAAAGAAAAAAAATTCTTCTCAAACGTATTGAGAACAATTTGAGCATTAATGTAGTAGGCGATCTACCACTCTAGTTAATTAGTTCTTAGATAACCTCACTGTAAAACTATACAAAATATTTAAATGCAATAAAAGAACGAATTAATGGCCTGATTTAGGAATAAATAGAATTAAATTATTTAAAATTTTATCAAGTTTTCAATGCCATAAATGTTGACAAAAACAAAAGAATTGACCTTTGAAAGATATTAGCTATAGAAAATTGGCTTTTGTATTCTTGAATTTTCCTTGTTACTTCTCGGATTTCATCACCACACTATATTGCCATAGAAGTAATCCATGGAAAACTTTCGTATTCAAATATGCAATGACAATTAACAAAAAGAACATGTAGTGTATGGTGACAGTTGTTTGTTTCGGCATCATCATTTCTCACAGTTTGGACAAATGATTTAGTTACGCCTTTTAAATTAAATGAAAAAAGAAGTTAACAAGCAAAAAATTAAATTAAAATAAAACAAGGGAGAAAAAGACAATTATTTAAGAATGGCAAAAAACTTTAAAATGCACATTCCTGATAAGTGTAATTTTTAAAAATAAACATACATTTGAAATTGACTTTATTAATAATTTTATTAGCAATCTTTCTGTTAAATAAAACATAAGTAATAAAAACAAAACTGCAAATAAGAGAAAACAACCTTCAAAAAAATTAATTTATGGCTTTCATACACAGAACTTTCTATTAATGGAATAAGAATAAAATAGAATTTATTAATAATCAGAAAGAAAAAAATTTAAACAATAATTGAAACAGTTAAGAGCACAAGAAAGAGACGGGTGTGTTTGCATGTTATTTTAATCTGCAAAGTGATTTACAAAGTTGTGAGTTTTGGTCAATTGCAAAGAAGTGTAAACAAGTTGCATCTCCCGAAATATTATACATACAATTTTTTTAAGACTCGTTATCAGTAACATCTAAATTTGAAAAGAAAAAAAAATTGCGGATACAGACTAACAGGTGCTTGTTTATGATGAAATAAAAAAAAAAAGAAAAAATACAGAAATAAATGAACACCGGGCGAACATAGGCTACAGTTGTTTAAGTCTGTAACCTAACACACAAGCATACATCCCATAAGACATCAAACTATTCTTGTATCACAGTAGTAAAAGTGATTTAATATTCGATAAAAGAAAAAAATTTAAATTCCAATTTAAATTATAAAAAATAATCATAATCAATTTAGTTAAATATTTATTAAGCATATCTTAAAATATAAACAAATTTTGTTTTGCAAGATAAGATCTCTAAAATATTAAGTTACGATGCTAGGCAATAATATCATGCTTGGAAAAATTACGATTAAAAGAACTACATTTAATTTAAAATAATGGGGTGTTCCAAAAATTCTTAACGATTTGAAATATAAACTATTTGCTGCATTTTGCATAAGAGACGGCGTTTCAGTGTAAGGAAAAAGAATTTATTTTCACTAATTTTAAAAATTTGTAACAAAGCTCGTGGGCAGATGGCGTTGCTATTTAAGAAAAAAACAATAAAAATCCAATATCCAATATTAGCAAAAATGTGCCCCTGTTTGAGATTTAAAAAAAATTACCATTAACCTGCGCATATATTTTAGTTAGAATGACCTGACATGAAGCAGAAAGCATTGTTTTGCAGTTTTTAATTTTAACAGCGCCATCAGTTGAGGAATTATGTAACTTATTTTGAAATATGTTTTTAATATATTCTTAGTTTTCTTAGCAAGAGGCAGCAAACAGTACATTTCTATCTCCTTTTGTTTTCTCTTGTAAATCGTCAGTCATTTTTGAGACACCCAATAGTCTAAACTTTGCCCTTCTAATAACATTATTTTAAACAAAATACTTAAGACAGTGAAAATATTTAATATATAGAGTAAAATAAGACATAAAAATTTACTTCTTCTTAAACTCATTTTTTAAATATTTAACTAGAATGAAACTATGTGTCACTTCAAAGGAATGAAAAATAATCAATTCTGTATGCAGAGGTGAAAAAAATTGGAATGTTTGTAACAACTAAAAAAAGTTAAAGCTATAAAATTATCTAAATGAGTATGAAATTAGGTAACGGAAATTTAAAGTTCATGGTGAAAATTATGTAATGTCCTATATGTTTGTACAGATCAATTTGCTTCATGCACTTCCATATACCAACGATTTCCAACATATGGGTTGCAGTTTAGTTTTGGGAAGAGGCTTCTTACAAGATGAATCTTCTAAGTTTCTCAAAAATAAAAATTAAAATGTATTTTTGACCTTAGCTTACAGTAATTCCTTATGTCAAGGGTCCTCAGTCTTATGCGTCAGAAGGTGGTCATATCAATAAATTGGTGAATACGAGCTCCACATCTGTTAGATAGATTATAAAATATAATCTGAAATATTAATTAGCAGGAAAGAGATAACAGTTTATTTTAGAGCAGATTAAAGTTTCAAAATTAGTTTATACAATCTATTTCCGTGAAACAAAATATGATTATTCTGGGATAGTAAACAATGTTCACCAATAAATCCCTTTGCACACCTGCACAAAAAATACTTATAAGAATGAGACATAAGAGAATATACAGACGTTTCAGTCTCAATGAGGAGTTTATCATTCTTTGTCCATAACTTAAGCATCAATAGCATGGGAAATATTTGTAGTTACAATTCTTAAAACATCCACCAAATGTGGACTTACCAAAAGTGTTGTTTTCAATAAATAGACCAAATTGATTAAATCTGTCCTAATAAAACAGACACTAAACAAATTTGTCTATCAAAAAGACAACCACCACGTGTTAATTAGTTATGTTAATAACAATTACTCGTGTGCCAGCAGTTTCCCAAGAGACAAACATTGAGGACTGCATTCAACTTTGACCCTGTATTCAGAATGGAAAAAATCTGTTTTCCGGCATAGAAACAACAAAATTTGCTGAGTAACAAATCTGTTAAAAGGTTAATGAATATTAGATTAAATAGAAGTTCATTTCCAAACAGATCCTTGGGTTGTAAAAAAGATCTGCCTATTAATGCTGAGTTGAGACTACAAAAAATAGAGAATCCCTGCCTTATACAAAGAAAAAAACCTACAAACATAAAAAGTTAGTAAAAAAAAGCACTGAAAAGAGTCGGTAGTAGTTATGGAAATGGAAAATATTTACTTATGTCTTTTGTTATTGAAATTTGAGTTCAAAGCAAATACAAACATAAATTTATACGTTTCTCCAAAAAATTCTAATGTTTTCACTGTCTTGAAGTATTTGTTTAAAAAAAAAATAATTAAAATCAAAATGATAGGTTTAAAAATCTTACAACTATACATCTTAAAAGCAGAAGTCTCACTTTATCTCGATTCACTGCACATCATTTCAATAAACAAACTGCAAATACAGGAATAAGGCAACCTTAATATCTAAAACCAACTATGACACAAACACTTCATTCACCCTTTTAAGCCACACACACTAGGATTTATATAAAAGGAGCAGCACAACTCCTGGATGGACTGATATAAACAAAAAC